CCGCAAGCGTGACATCCTTGGTGAATTCCACCTAGCGACTAAGCATGATCAGGAGCAAGCAGCAGTTGAGGCTCAGTATGGACACCTTGAACGGATGGCATGGATTGCAGTGAAAAAGAGTAAACAGGAAGCAAAATATAGTCGGAAAATGGCAGAGATTGAGCTGCAAAGGCTCCAGCTCCAGCTACAACTCCAGGCAGTAAATTCACTGCTGCCTGGACCTTCAAATAACATTTCTCTCATTTCTCATTCTCATACTAATAACGGGCTTCAGCTTGATTTGGGGACATACAACCCCTCAAACTCTCATGAAAGCCCCTTTTCGTAACTCATACCTCATGTCTAGAGCCAGCATACATGTGATTCACGAATACAGTTGCGCAAATAGCGCCTCTTGGACATGACTGCGCTTCCGTTGAGCAGGTGACTCACCAGGAACTGCTGCTTCCCCATTCCCCCAAGTGAAACCACTGACTGGCTCACAATCATCCCCCTCATCCAGTTGATTGACCAGTCCATCACGAACCCACTCCCAGAAGTCAGCCTCTTCCCCTGCCCCCTCATACTGTGCAGTGAGGGTGTGAATAATGATGCATGTACATACCCATGCCGGCACGAGTGCATGATCACAGGCAGAGTTGATCTGCTGGCGGAGTCCCCGCAATGACTGGAATCGGCCCTTGATGTAGCCAACAGCATGTTCTGATTGAATGCATACCTGAATGGCAGTAAGTAAACAACATGCAAGAGTATAACACATGATATACCCTAGATAAGTGGTAGTTGAATTGTCTATTAGCAGGATCATCAGAGTGTGGCTGCTTGAATGGCACAACACACCAGGTGCTAGCTGGGTACGCTGAGTCAGCCCAGAGCCATTCACCATTCTGGAAAAGTTGATCAGACTCCTTGAATGCTTGTGACTCCTTAAATGCGGTAGAGTCGTGCATACTTCCAGGAGGCCCCAAGACATAGTCAATTATCCAGAGGTTTGGGAGTGTGACAAGCTGTCAAAAGAATGAGGAATAGAAGATAATGGATAGGAAATTCATACTGTCAGGCTCAGTGAGTAATTAGACTTCCGATCAAAAAACTGTTCACCATAGTGCCCCGGCTTCAAAAATAACGGTATTAGTGTTCCGTCCACCATACAGAAGCCAGGTCTCCATGTGTGGCATGAAACACTCTCCACCCAATCTGACGCTGCTCTCTTCTCTTCTGAAGATGGCCATCGGATAGCTTGATCATGAAGTGGTAGGAACGCGCCGATAACACGCCGAGTTGCCTTGACCACACTGCCCACACTACACCCGGCCCACTGGGCAACCTTCTCCACAGATGATGCATTTCCATAATGTCCGAAGCGATAGAGAGCAATAGCGAGTTGATGAGAAGTGTGCATTTGTTCTTGGTGAGATTCATTGAAAAAGATGGGGTGACCTTTGATGAGAATGAGGAGGGCGTCAAAAGTGTGAGGTGAGACACGCAAGTTCAGACGGAAGCGATATGCATCATCAAACTTGTAGCAGTCCAACACAAGTCCAACCTGGCTGCGCTTAGGTACATTGTGAGGGAAAAGGCAGTGGGTGCTGAGGAGCTGCATGAGGAAGGTCCGAACACGGTAGGTGGAAAGGATGTAAGAATGATAAAGCCGTGATAGCGCTGCATCAACAGCATCATCAGAGTCCAAAGACAAGGGCTCAGACAGAGATTGATGATGGGAGCCAGTGCTGGCTGCTGAGCTAGAAGAGCTGCTGCTGCTGCTAGAACTTGAACCAGATGAGTCAGTGTCGCTCCCATTACTCATACTAGAATCAGAGTTATCACTTAAGTCTTCTGACATGTATATTTCGTGTCGTCGCTGTTGGTACTGGATCCGGAGGTGCGCAGCATGGTCCAATGCTGCTGAGATGACATGCTGGTGCACAGACAAGGATGGCATCAACTTACGTAAACCAAAGCACCTGACTTGTTAGACGGACTTTACGCAAAGCTTTGATGCTGGGATGGGAGCCAGTTTAGACCCTTAGTTTAGACCCTTCAACTGTGAACACTCTGAAATCGTGTCTTAACTGCGACTTAAACCCGCTTCCAACCTTAGACCCCCGGGGTCTGGATTAGGCTCAGTTTAGTCGCACAGTTTAGCCCAATCTAGCCAACCATGAAACTCCCTGATGTACTTAGTAACTTGTAACCTCAGTCCGAAATCAACTTGATTTCCCCCCAAGAGACTTCCCCTCTGCTAGATCCGAAATTAGGGACCCCCAGGACAACCAGAAATGGCACAGCACTCTGCTTGAGTCACTGAGGCCAAGGTCCTTCCACGCTAAGTCTCCAATTCCACTCCAGAGTCGTCCAAACACCCAATCTAACAGAAATCCATGAAATTTCATGAAATTCCATGGAGCCCATGGAGCTATCATGAGTTACTGCTATCAGGAGACATCTCATAATAAGTGCCTCTCAATCTCATGTGTAGGGCCAAAGCACACTGGTGATGTTATCATTTTTGTTGCAGACTTTCATTAGTGTTGCTCAATTGTTAAATGCTGATTAACCTCACCCTATAGCATTATCATGTATTCAATTTTTTTTAAAATCCCTCTTCATCGGGCTCAGCATCTGATACTCCCTGCAGGTCTTGCACTTTGGCTTAATGGGATGAGAGCACATCCCTCAAGGTGTTCAAAGGACCACCAAGCAGAAGTAGAGTCCTCCCTTATTCCTTTAAATCTATTTTTTTCCTTTGACTTTTTGACTTGTAATATGGTGCTATCATTTCTGTAGTCATGGTGACCCATCATCTGTTGTGATAGTCATGTAATTTCTCCTCCAGGATGAGAGCCCACCTTGTTGTGTTCTGGAGGCTGCCCTTAGGAATGGCTCTAAGAGGCTCTCCCATGTATAAACTGTTATCCTTGTTGATTGATTATAATGACCACCCTGCCACTTGTTTGATGCTACCTGAATGTTTTGCGCTTGCACTGTGTCATCTTTCACTATCTCCACTGCCCACATGGTCATTGCATCTGACCATGCCCCATGCCCCATGCCACATGCTGTACCAATGTTGATGCACATTGCTTCATTGTGAAGGCTGCCCATGACCTCACAAAGCAGTGCATGGGCTGCTGCTCGGTCACCATCTATATGGGTCATCCCTGCCGAGGTTGACAACTCTAGCCACAGATCGTCAAGTTCGCACGCGGCTCAACTCAGGTATGCATGAACACCTTTTGTTATGACTCGCGTCGCTCGCCCAGGTACTGGGCTCATGTCTGTCTCACCTTACGGTGAGCATCTGGTTAACTCTATGGACAGATTGGTATTCGATACAAGCCCGTTCCCCTCATCGCCGGTATGCTCTCGCAAGTGCCAAGTAGCCATCGATCCCACCATGTGTCGTTTGACCTACGATCAACTAACCCCTCCGTCACCGGTATGCTCTTACGAGCGCCAAGTACCCATTGACACAAATACAGACCGTTCGCCAGACAAACGGTCTCATACCTCATTGCTGGTACGCCCATCTGGGCGCCAAGTATCCATCAACCCAGCCTCAAGTAGCTCCCTCAAGGAGCTAGAACCTCACTCATTGCCAGTACACCCAATTGGGTGCCAATTACCTGTCAACCAAATCTCAGGAAGCTCCCTCAAGGAGCTGTTATATCACTTGCTACCAGTACGCTCCCTCGAGTGCCAAGTACCCACTAGCCCTTTGTCCTCGACTGGTCCCATTCTGGATATTCCCTTTACCTGTGATCCTATACACCCACGCATGGTACGCTCATGTAACGAGTGCCAAGTATCCATCATAGCAGACTCCCATTCACTGCAAGGTCTCAGCTTTCTGTCAAAAGCTCCAAGGCCATCGGACAATTCTCATTACATGACTAGGCCACCCTACATACATGAGGTGGACGATTCCAAGTCATCTATAAGGACGGAAAGAAATGGATTACCCATAACCCATTTCTTTAACAATTAGCAAAGTATGATGGGACAGACATGACTATATCACCAGGGTTCATGAGATGTTTTCTAACAGTGATGCTGCCAAATGTTTGGGTCCGCAGCCATCCTTGCCTTCCCCTAGGGAGTGAAGCTGTGACTGGATTCACTCCAAAAGCTGGAGTAAGTGACATGTTTATCAGTGTTAGTAAGCATTGCTCAATCCAAGTCAGAACATAAGTGTCAGCAAATATCTGCTTAGGGCCTTTTATGAAGAGGAGAGCAATGAAGTGGTCACCATTGTATTTGAGGATGGGGACTCTGAGGCTGGAGACCCATAAGGAGCATTTCCAGTGGTGGGAATGGGTGTGTTATGGAGCAAAAGCTATGTAACTGAGCAAGAGTGAGCTGTCAATTACATCCTCATCTCTGTGCATGTCTGACACACCATCCATTCCCTGAAGCACCATGTTGTACTTGACTAGGTGGTCACTGTTGCTGTATGTGACACCACCACACATGCTCGCCTATGCCATCTTGCCATCCCCCTCCTTGCCCTGCTGCTGCTGAGCATGTGGGCTAGGTCAGGGTATGTTCCCTGACAGTGGGGAACAAGAGGTGGATATTTTTCATCTTGAGGAACAAGTGAAGGTGATTGGTTTTGTTAGCCTTCAGAGGTGCAACATCCATGAGAGCTATGCCTTCAAGGTGTTGAAGACCCTGTTACAAGGGAAGCAGTTGGTAATGCTGAAGACAAAGTAGATGAAATTGTTTGGGAAGTGGTATGATTCACTGGTATGTATCAGGGTGTTGTTGATAATTTATTCTGCTCCAGTCAAATTAAATTTTGATTTCCCCTCTGGTTGTAGTCACTCAGGTGAGCAGCCCTGGGGCAGTCTGGAGTAGACTTTAGCCTACATACAATAAGTAGAAATGATAAAGTTGACTCTAAAGTCACATGACTATCTATAGAGTGAAGATTGAAATGAAAAGAGACAACTCAAACTACAACACTGTTGCACTCAACAATGACAAGGCCATGAACCTCAATGGGACCCAGGAGGGGCTGCAATAGAAGACAAGGATGGCAATTTAGATTACCCAATGTGTTTGCTGGGATACATTTGAATTCTCCTGCTCACCTTTCAAGTCTAATCCTGGTTCAGGATCATATGGAGAGAGATGGTAGTGAACTCAGCCATGAGTATGATTTTATCCAAGGGAGATATAGGACAGAAACCAAGGATGTCCCTGAAAATTTATCCAAAATGGGACAATTGTCCTATGCTTATTGGCATCCCATAGGGTATAAAGTGAGTCCATCAATCTGTAATAAACATTCATATATCATGGACAATTCCTTTTAGAATAAGCCCCCAGTTATAAGCAAGGAAGTAAAGCAGTGTGTACCAACCAACAAGAAATTCCAAAAAAAATGTGAGGCTTTCTATCATATCCCTCTACACTGAGAGGCTGGCTTGCCACCTTGCCTGAAGTAGCCAAGAGGTCTGGCACTGGATCAGGACCAAGCACAACCACGAAGGTTATCTGTCTGAGGTCAAATCCCATTCCCTCAGTCAAACCATCAAGTTCAAATCCAACACCCATTTCCACTATGACTCAGCTTCTTGTTGGTGTGCATTCAATGCTGTAGCAGGTTTTGGAAGGTATAAGGGGTGTCTTTTGGATTTCCCTGGATTGGGGTATGCCCTCCCTTCCAATCCTGGTGATCTCTTTTTTTTTTGAGGGGCAGGGCTCAAGCATGATGCAACTTCATGAGAAGGAGAAGGATAGATGGTCTACTCTGATGGGTGTGTCTTTACCCACAAAAGCATTAAGCAGCCCAAGGTTCTGGGGAAGACATATGGGAAGGATGCCTACCAGAAATTTAGAAAAATGTTCCCATGCCATCTCCCACAATCACTATCTGAACAAAAACAGCTCCATGCTGCAGACCATCCTAGGAAAAAACAGAAGTGTGGGGAAGAGGTGGATGCATAGTTTTTTCAGTTGCTATAATTACTACTATCACAATCATATAATCCCTCCTTCTACAGCACCATTAAATAAATTGGTCCTCTACTGTGACACAGGGTTGTACTCCTGTTCACAAGCACCATGACAACCAAAGCACACTCCCCTGGTCCTCTCTCAAGGTTCTGAGAAAACTGATGCCATAACTGGTGTTGAATTCATAATTGTCAAAGACATGGTGAGGAGGGGCAGTGTCCCTGGACCTTTCCCCAGAAGGGAGGCCAGAGTTAGAGAATGGGCAGAAGGACCATGGCCTCAGTGGCTCAGAGAGGAGCGCTGTGCTTACATTTAGTAACGCTTAGGAGTCTGGTCCTTAACTTCAGAACGAGGGGTGTGAACTCTGGGGGATGGTCAATTGTCAATTTTGCACTAAGGTGCCATCAACTACAGTACAGGACTTATATACATAATAGAAGACAAATGGGAACAAAGGGGAAAAGGCAAGAGGGACTTACCCACTTGCTGGGTTGGTGAGCTTGTGAGAGAATCACCTTATCAAGCACTGTGGAGTGGGTAGGTGATGGTGGCAGTTACTGGAGAGTGGGAAAACCTTTGCAGGGGTGGCAGAGGTCCTAGGAGGTCCATAGTAATATTGGGTAGGTAGAAATATTAATAAACGTTTAAGGTGAGGATAAGAGGTACTGGAGAAGGTACTGAAGATTGGAGGCAGAGGTGGACCGGAGGTGAACCGGAGGGTATGGCAGAGGTGCGGGGGGAGGTGTCATGGCCATGCATTCCGGCCCATTAGCCGCCCATCCCGATGCTGCCCAAGCCCATTCCTGCTACGCGAGCGTGAGCACGAGCCCTGGCCTCAGCCCTATCCTCCCTGAGGACTCCCTGCTCACTCCCCTGCTTGCCCCTAGGCTCCCCTACACCTGGCTGACTCCCCCACAGCCACACCAACCTTCCCACCATGAGCCTGCCTCTGGCACCACGCTGAGTGCGACTCCTCTACCCCGCCCACTTGGCCCCTACAGGGCCACTACCATTCCCATGCCCAACTCTGAGTCCAGCACTGCTACAATACCATCGCCGCTATCGCAGCCCTATGCTCCTTCCTTTATTTATCTGTTATTGTTTGTTTTGACCCTCGGTCATTGCCGGCCGCTGTGCGGCCAACCCCGCTCCTTATTCATGTCTGCTTCCAGACCCTTTGGCCCTCAGCCCAGGTCCGCTTCCATTCATTCCTTCCTCCTATATATATCCTGTATACTACATTATAGTACTTTAGCTCTAATATCAATTTGACCATGACCCCTTAAGTCCTGACCCCAACAAGGCAGCCCCAGTAAGTCTGAAATGAGGGCCAAGAGACAGCTAGGGGGCACAGCGCTCCTTTAGAGTTGCTGAGGCCAAATGCCCTACCCTTGGGCCTTGTTCGCGGCATCACGGCCATCGCAGCCTATAGTGGCCTGCAATGGCAGCCTTCAGTGCCGACCCCAGACCAGTGTCTAATGTCATATCCATCCCCAGCCATCGACTTCTGATCCCTCTGATCCCTCCGGTCTACCTCCGCTCCTTCTTCACTAACCTTGGAGCTCCCGTATTCCGCAATCCCCTTGGTACCCCTTGATGGTCACCACCCCCTCCTTTCAATTTATTACCTATGCCTCCCTAAGTACAGAGCCCCGAAGGCTTCCGGACAGCTCTGACGTCCGCTAGCGCACTCCTGCCTCCGCTGGGCAATACACTCACTTGCCCTGCAGAGCCCACCTTCAGGCCTATCCCTCCTTTCTGTTTCTGGGTTATCGCCTGCCTTTCCATTAACCCCGTAACCCGACTCGTCGGTAATATTCAATCGGCTAATGTCTAATCCCATTAGCTCCACTCCGCTCAGCTCCACCATTTGCGGACCCGCCCTCATTGTAACTATATATACTCAACTTGTACATAGGTTACACCTCAGTAATAAAATCAACTAGAGTTTATCCCCCTTCAGTTCTGGTTGCCAGCTTAGTAAGTTAGGGCATGGATGTGTTACTTGGCACAGCGCTCCTGGCATAAGTTGCTGAGGCCGAAGCCCTCCACCATGGAGACATTTCTTTGTCTCAACCCGGTCTCTCACATCTAACAGGAGGACAGACCAGAGGTGGACAGGAGCTGTGGCAGAGTAGAGTGGGGGTGAGGCGGAGTTGGTATGGATATGACAATAATGAGGAATGTAAAGGACTTAGAAATGATAAATGATGGAGAAAGGGCAGAAATATTCATTGAAAACAAGGGCAATTTTTTAAATGAGCAGCAGGGACAACCAGTAATGAATGAGACAAGTTTAAGAGCTCATTAGAAAGGAGATGGAATGTACTTGGCCCACAAAAATTCAGAAATAATGATTTGGGCACATTCATGAGCTATTCAGCATGCAGTTGAACTACTTTAAGGTCAACCAGCAGGGAAAACCAATCATGCAAATCCTAGATTGGATACCTATGAGAAAAGTGGTATAGAAAAATCAGTAAAATCATTTTATGAATTTAATCACATGCTGTCAGGACTTGCAGTCTGATAAACTGTCCAATTCCCCCCCCCACTCACACTCATTCTGGGTGTGTAGAAACGGTCTATAAGACCATCTCCTTACTGGTTATCACCAGTACTCCAGCTCTTCAGCTGTTGCTGAGAGCTGACCTTGGGAAGCGCAACCTGCTTCACCAATTTCTGGAGTTTGCATCATAGATGCAACTCCTTCTCTCTCTCTCCCAAGAATGAGAGGTTAGAGACAGCTGAATAAGCTGTCTCCCTGTTGTTTTAAGTGCAACTAAGCACTTACTGAACACTGGGCCATATAAGCATGCTTGCACTTCTGGCCCAACTCCCTTTTTACCCATCTTTATGGGTAATATTTTCATTTTCACTCCCTAAACAATCATTTAGGGAGGAGAGGCCTTCACTGGCCTGGGGTTTATTGACCCCAACACTCCCTAACAGCTGTTTAGGGAGGAGCAGCCATAAATGGCCTAGGGTTTCATGACCCTATGTTTCTATTTTACTTTTTATTGTGAAAATTCCTGTAAATCAGGGATTTGAAGGCCTAATCACCTTCACAAGTGGAGGTCTAACCACCTCTACATTTTTATCTTAAAATTTTTGTGGAACCAGTGTCCCCTCCAAATCAAATATCTTGATCCCTTTCCTCATAGGGAAGACTGGCCAGATCCATAATTTCTTGCTCATTCTCATCAAATATCATGTCATGTGCTTCTAGGATGGTAGCTGGATCAATGTTCTGCATTTTTGCCACAGGAAGAGCACTAGGGAGTCAAGACATCATGAGCAAAGGAATCTTTATCATATATTGGTGTAACAGCCTACTGCAGGTGGCTTGCAAGTGCCAAGCTCCATCATGATATGTGCTCAAAGGACGTATTGTTGTGATCATCTGATGAAAGTTTTCTGTATCCAGAGGAAGGTCTTGACCATACTTCATCAAAACAATCAGGGGCACTGATTCCTCAAACCAAGGGTCATCATGCCATTCTTTGGGTGCATTGGTAAAGAAATGAGATTCATAAAGCTGCATTGTGTCATGCATGGAGCAGACATCTGGGAGGTTTAGCATTGCCTTGAAAGATTGTTTTGAGCTATTATCTTGATCAGCATCAACAAGGGAATATTGCAAGTAATGCAGTGTCAACCTACACCCAATCCACAATGGCTCTGTACTTGTCAAGTCTTTCACCCAAATCAATATAGAGGCTGTGTGTCAAATAGTCTTTGTGTGGATTGCCCAGAGAATGATGCATGTTGCCATCCAGACATGAGTGTGAGTCATTGTTGTGGGTTGAGTCCCTGGTGCCACTGGCTCATCATCACCCTCAACAAAGGTCCATGGTGCAATTGCAAGGAAGATGTTGTCATGGTTGTGTGTCCCAATGAACAGTGTTCTGCCTGTTGGGTCAAAACCAAGGTCGCCTCTGTGGTTCAAGAATGGCCAGATGGATCCTAGCAAGTTCAGGTTGAAACACCAGGTGGTGTTCACACCAATGGAGGGGGGAGGGAGGATGTCAGGAACGTGTTGGACCCATATCCAGATGATCTGCAAGGCATGCAAAGTCATCTGGGCTCATAAGGTCAGAGGGGTGGGACTTCAGCTTCAGCGACTCGGGTGGAGCGCTGTGCTTCGTTCTTACATTGTTGTCCCAATTTCAGACAGAAGGCTTATGATGAGGAGAAGAGTAAATCCAAGTCAAGATACGAACTGAGGTACATCCAGTGTAACCTACACGTGTTATAAGCACAAGTAACTAAATGGACCAGCCCAGAAGGAGTGGTGGATCAAGCATGATATTAATGAATGAAAAAATGGACAAATGGTTAATGTTGGCAAACCTTGCCAACAAAAGGAAATGAGGAAACAAAGAGTGACAAAAGGGAAACAATAGCCTGCAAATGAACAAAAGAGAAAAAGGCCATCCAGCCGTCTAGCAAGCCGTCCAGCTGGTGGGTGGACAACAATGAACCACTCAAATGGGCAACCTTGGTTGGAAGGTACACATGTGGGGGAGGGAGTGCAGATGAGGGTGATGGGTGGATGGATGGATGGACAGATGATGATGGTAGTGGGTGGGACAGGCCAAGTGGCACTAGGACATGTTGACGGAAGTGATGGATATGCCGGGTCATGACAGAGGATGACATCAAAACCCATATGATCAGGGACTTTGAGTGAAAAGTCAATATGGTGACCTTCTATATGGTATGTAAAGAGAGCGGAATTTCCAGGTTTGTAAAATTTTGTGTTGACATCCAGTCTGTTCTTCATCTTTAGGAGGCATAATGCCTTTGCACCACTTCCCTCTTCATAGAGTCTTTGGAGGAGGCTGAGCTTCAAGAGTTGTTCAGCCCTCTGATGATAGTGGTCTCATTCATGGATGGTGGAGGCAGTATTTGTGCCTATCATGGTGTGAGGTCTTTGGGTAGCTCAGCACACAAAGCTGTAAGTGATACAAGTATGTGTATTTTACGGTGGTGTGTAAGCAGTTACCCGGAGGTTCCCGCTTACCCATGTGACTATATGTATCAATTTACATATGACTCGGGGTTCGGGGCTATTGCCCTGACATTCTCCCCCCTTGCATTGCATTTGCGACGCATACAAGGTTGATAGTGAAATAAAACAAATTTTTAATAATTGATTTACATTGAGTTTGGAATTGTCAATGAGTGTTTTTGTTGTCGCCACTTTAAAGTGGGCGATTTTATACATGTTGGTGAAGGAGAGAGGGAGGGTTTAAGAAATAAATGAGTGTGGGCCATTACTTTGAAGTGAACGGCGATACATTGGTATCGCAGGGAGAAAAATAGTGGAGTTTGTCGAAAATGAATTTCGACCCAAAGGTTGTATGTCTTTGGTGTTCCTCACTTGTTCCATGAGGGTTCATGTGTAAGTGGTGTTTACACACGAGCGGTGGTGGATGTGGGTCTTTTGGCGGAGTGGAGATTTCTGCAATTGTTACTTGCAGTTCCTCACATACTGTATTGTGTGCGGGGCCTCAAGTTGGGGGAAGGTGTTTTCACAGGCGCCTCGATGGCATAACCATGTCACTTTCCCTTTTCTCAAGGGTGGAGTCATTGCCCCGGAGGAGGGTTTTCCTCCAGGTTGTTCATCTGGACATTTGATTGCTGCGTCGGATGCGATGATGTAGCCTGGGCTACATTGTCGGGCTGTGGGCTCGACGAAGTGGGCGCTCCCTGGGTGGGAGTGGGTTGTTGTGTTCTTGAGCTACTTGGCTCAGGTGTAGAGTACGGTAGGTCTACCGTTCTTCCTGTGGGGAAGGGTGGTCATTGGGCTGGTTGTCCAGCGCGGAGACTTGCGTCTCTTTCCCGGTATTTGGAAGCTTTCGCTTCCCGTTCTGCAGTTCTTGCGGCACGTTCCTCAGGAGTCCTGAGTGGTTTGAACTGGGACTTTAGATAGGTGGCTTTGCCTAGACTTTCCCAGGAGATTTTTCCCTTATTCTCCAGGGAATTATACTCCTCTGCGAGTCTTGCAATACTCGGGAGTCCCAAGAAGTATTTCTCGGTTTCCTTTGCTTTATCACGAAGGGTTCTGTGTACCTTGCCGCTTTTGAAGGCAGCTTTGGCCTGTTCGTACCAGTGTACAAATTCTTTCCCGCTCACACTTGTCCACCAAGCGTATGCGGCGTCGTGTGCCGCTTCTGACCCTGCTATTCTCCTCATGGGGAAGTTGGGGTTGAATGTTACGTCGACTGGAGCTTTGACTTTGCTGAACTCGTTGAGTTTGGCGGTCTCATATAGCATGTGGACACTTCCCTGCAGGGTACTCAGCGCCCCACCACCTCTGGCAGTGGTCCCTGTTTTAGGGTCTGCTGTTGGTTGCCTACCACTCTCCCTCTTCCCCTCGACATGGGTTTGCCCTTCTGAGGGCGGGCCCTTATGCAACCCGGACAGGGTCGCCTGCCCACGGGGTGGCGGGATAGTCGGTGCCCCACCCCTTGATGCGCTAGTCCCCATGTGGGGTCGCGCCTCATGAGGCCCGGAACTGTATCCCCTCCCCCTGACCTGGGAGGCCCCTGTCATGATGGGTTTGGCAGCGAGGTCTGCCAGTGCGTGTGCCCCTCTGAGCTCACATTTCAGTAATTTGATCTCCCTTTTTTGGAGATCGACTTCTCTCTCTGTGTCTTTCAGAGAGTCGAAGATGCCCTCAGCATCTCTTCGTGCTCTGTTGTATTCGTGCCTCCAGTGGGCGCAATGGTCGCAGGCGTCTTCTGATGCCCTCGAGTTATCAGACCATGCCTGTTTGGACGGTCTGGATGAGGAGCTGCTGTCGCTCCCTCATCTCCCTCCTATGAGGGACTTCATTTCTTTCAGCTCCTCGCGGAGCTTGTTACAGGAATGGGTTCCAGGGAACCCAACCTGAACCGTTCGGCTCACTAATGGAGGTGGCTGCGCAGCCATCGGAGGGAGAGCGGAATGGGATGAGTGTCTGGAAGTACAACCTGTGGGTTGGCCAATGGTAACTTGGCACTCCTGGAAGCATACCGGTAGTGAGTATGATGTGGGCTCCTTGAGGGAGCCACCTGGCTGTCTGCTAACGGGGACTTGGCGCTCCTGGGAGCGTGCCGGTAGTGGGTGTGCTGGGAGTGGTTGGCTAGCGGTGACTTGGTGCTCAATGGAGCGTACCGGTAGCATGGGATACTGGGACTCCCAAAGGGAGTCATCCCAGCCACAAAATTAAGTGACCAGCAAGCAGATGAGCCACTTCCCAGGGGCATAATGATAGCAGGCCTAATGTACCGCAACGCAGCCACCCACCTCTCCAATCAGTTCTGGATCTCCAAGGCCTTCAGCTTCGCTGCCTACCCTGCAACAGACTTCACCGCCAATTGGCCAGCCATCTCAGACAAAACCTGGTGCAGACCAGCACCCCAGTGGACCAACACCTAGCCAGCGAAGTCCTGAACATGCTGTTATGCTGTGAGACCATTAACTCAGCAGAGGATGGCCTAATCACCATGATTAGACATGGCAATGCCTCTACACACTGGGTCTTCACAGCCAATTCCCCCCACCCCACCAATGTGTTCCAACACAGACAGTGGGGTAGCCACAGCTGGAAGTACGGAATGGTATCACCCTTCCATCGCCACAGGTGAACTGCAAGTGCTGCAAGGGTAGAGACCTACCAGCGCCCACTGAGCAAAGTCCCATTCTGGAACGAAGCATTCCCCCGAAAAAGAATCAATGACCCCCAAATTGTGAACACAAACCCCACCAACAATGCAGAACTCACTGCCCCCCACAACCACGGATCCTCAACGAGTGGGGATGGCAGATGCGGCCAAGCCAATCAAGCCAATCCAGATCAACCTCTAGATAGTGCTGATGAGGCCCCACAATCTGTATCAGAAGAATCAGCCTGACCCAATTTGTGTAGTTAGACTCCAGGAAATGTTCTCATTTCTGACCTTGGATGGATTTACATTTGTAATCAATTCAACATTCGCTCCCTTCCTCCAAGTCCGTCACATCCCTCGGCCCCAAGAAATCACCCTATGGCGCAAAGTCTACATTCTTACAAGCTCCAAGGGCCCCTACAGCATTCAACCACTACACTACAAGATGCCCCCACAGTACCAGCACCTTCCACCCCATATCAGGTGGAAAGTCAACAACACTGGTGAACTTAGCACCTTCTCCAGCAAAGCTGTGGAGACTCTCAGTTGCGCATCTTCAACAAGCTCGTAAGTTGGTTCATACCAGTTCATTCACTCAAATAATGTAATTTCCTTACAGATTGTACACCCCCAATGCATGGACATTGGACTCGTTCGAAATTGGCCATCACCTTGGGAGGGGCGGGTTTGGACACGTCTACATGGCTCGAACCAAGGAGGCTCCCAAGTTTATTCTTGCCCTGAAATGCCTGTACAAGGCTGAACTGAAAGAGGAACATGACAAGGAGCAATTGTGTCGTGAGATGGAAATTCAGAAGGAACTGTGACATGCGAATGTCTTACACCTCTATGGATTTTTCCATGATGAAAACCAGGTTTTTTTGATGTTGGAACTCACACCAAAGGGAGATATCTTCAAGTGCCTTACAAAACTTGGACATTTCTCAGAAGAGCAGGGAAGTCAAGTATGTCTGTTCAACTGCCACTGATATTCTCCAACTGATTGGCTATTTTAAGTACATTTCTCAGGTGGTGGCTGTGTTGCAATATCTACATAGCAAGCATGTCATCCACCATGATATCAAGCCTGAAAATCTTCTCCTTGGTCTTGATGGAGAGGTGAAGATAGCCGATTTTGGATGTAGTGTCCAAGCAAACAGTAATTGGTGTGTGTTCCATCAATGCATGACTGCTTTGATTAGTATTGACATGACCCACCAGCCAGATGACATTCTGCAGCACTCTCGATTACATGGCCCCTGAAATGGTTGCAGGGGAACCCTGCATGGAGAAAGTGGATCACTGGGCACTGCACATCTATTTGAGACAGGAAGACCAGAACTGGTGCCTGCTCTCAGTGTCACATCTATAATCAAGCCACAAGTCTGTGGACACAAATTACTCTAGACATAGTCAGCGTTTAAAGGAACGTAATGAGTGCAAAATACTGTCAAGACCACAGCAAGGAGGGCAGTGGCCCTGGACCTTTCCCCAGAAGGAGGCCGGAGGTAGAGAATGGGCAGAAGGACTGCAGCCTCAGCAACTTGGAGAGGAGCACTGTGCCTACATTCAGTAATGCTTAAGAGTTGATCCTTAACTTCAGAATGGGGGGTGAAAACTCTGGGGGATAGTCTTATCGTCGATTTTGCACTGAGGTACCATCAACTACAGTACAGGACTTATATACATAATAGAAGACAAATGGGACCAAAGGGGAAAACCCAAGGGGGACTTACCCACTTTCCGGGTCAGTGAGCTCGTGAGAGAATTGCCTTATCAAGCATTGTGGAGTGGGTAGGTGAAGGGTGGGATTAGCGACAGCTACTGGAAAGTGGGAAAACCTTTGCCGGGGTAGCGGAGGTCCATCCATAGTAATATTGGGTGGATAGAAATATTAATAAACGTTTAAGATGAGGATAAGAGGTACCAGAGAAGGTACTGAAGATTGGAGGTGGACCAGAGTGGTGGCAGAGTAGAGTGGAGGTGAGGCAGAGTTGGTGTGGATATGACAGACCAGGTCCTTGTCAGGGCACTGAGCTGCTCTGAATCCAAATCGAGGTTCTCAGAGGTGTGGACAGAGTTGTCACTAGAAGGATGGAGGTCCACTTCAATGGGAGACCCTGAGGATGTGGTCCATGCTGAGGACTCCAGCTGAGCAGTGAGGGGGAAGTGGAAGAAGAAAACTACCTTCCTCACTCGCTACTCAGAGAATGATAAGGTCGGCACACCCAGCTATGCAGGGCTGCTTCACAGAAAGAGATGCAGTACTAGTCCAGGGGTGTGATCAGGGTATGCTGGTCTGGGGATGGTGATCAGGATAGGTCAGGTGCTCTATAGTGTCATCAGTGGTGAGTAAGTAGCCATACTCTGACAGTCCTTGTCTCCAACCCAGGGAAGGGATGGAGGTGGGTGGAAGAAGATGGAGAGAAAGAGTGAGTGGATGAACCTGTCCCATGATTCATTTGTGTGGGAGAGCAGTGTGTTCAGTGCCTGCCAAACATTCATTGCACATTGCTGCTGGCGCTCAGACAGGATCATGTGGATGGGTGGCAAGTCCAAGGAGCAGTAGTGAAGAACAAAGCAGATGACCTGTAGTGCATATGAGTGGTAGTGTTGGGTTGTGCTGTTGTGCTGTGGGTAGGTGAATGGCCAGTGGGTGATATCTCTGTGGGGCAAGTGTCATGATGGTCCTGGATCCTGATGATCAAGCTGCTCACCCTTCTGATGTGTTGATCCACCTCAAAGCAAGAGGTGGTGTGTTCTCAATGATGCCCCAAATCTCTTTGAAATAGGGCACCACCCTCTCCTTGAAGCAGAGGAGGAGAGGTGCATGTGGGAAAGCCATGAGTGCAGAGAGCACCTTGTAGTCCTTCCCCTCTATCATGCATATCCAGCCATACTCCCTGTGGAAATTGTGGACCTGCTGGGCACTGTCAGGAGCCTGGATGATGCCTTGACCCCACCCCCTCCTCCTGTATTGCTCCATGAGATCCTCCAATGCAGTGGCATGATCAATGTCAGATGCTGGAGTGGTGTAGTTGGGGTTGACCACCCAAACCTGGTGGTCCTTCTTCTCTGGAAAGACAACCTGAATGGGGGAGGACATGACATGGTTTTGGGTGCAAGGAACAGGTGGGCCTTGTGGAAGTGGTTCCTGGAGAATGAAGAGTACTGTTCTGCCCTGCAACATCACCGAGCTCCCCAGCACATCCACCACCCATGGAGGAAGATAGCCCCTGTGGCCTCCATCCCTATCCTCAATGGCTACATGTGCACTGTCAAGGGGTGCTAGTTGGCTGCTGGCCTCAGTGACTCTAAAGGAGCACTGTGCCCCCTAGCCGTCTCTTGGCCCTCATTTCAGACTCACTGGGGTTTCCTTGTTGGGGTCAGGACTTAGGAGGTCGTGGTCAAATTGATATTAGAGCTAAAGTACTATAATGTATCATACAAGATATATATAGGAGGAAAGAATGAATGGAAGCAGACCCAGGCCAAGGGCTGAAGGGTCCGTGTCAGGGCCTGGCCTCTGTCTGGGGGCAGCCCTACCTCAGAGCTGGACACTTGTGGTGTCCCAGGTAGCGAGGTGCTGGATCCTATCCCAAGCTCCTCAAACTCACTAAGCAGGGATTGAGTTGTCATGTATTATGGAAGGTAGCTACAACTTGCCTAAGCGGGGATTGAGTTGAGAAGAAGGGTAACTTTCCCTATTCCCCACTTGGCTGCTATAAAAGGAAATGTACTGTACAGTTCGTAACGTGACTATGGGTAGAAGCCAAGCATGTTCCCATGATGCGGAAAAGGTGTCACATGGGTTAAGGCAAGTTGCTTGCCTTGACCCACATGATTTTTTCCCACGGGTTTGCATGCAGGCTGTAGTTGTGAAAGATGGGAGGATGAGGGAAGTGGGGGGAGGTTAGGGAAGGTGGTTCTGGGGTTGTATGGTCAGGTGTGGTTGCCCTGACAGTCCGGACACAAAGGGGACAAGGAGTGGGGTTGGCTGCACAGTGGTTGGCAATGACCAAGGGTCAAAACAAACAATAACAGATAAATAAACAAAGGGGTGTAGGGCTGTGATAGCGGTGATGGCAATGGTATCGGTGCTGGACTCGGAGTTGGGCTGGAGTCGGGTGCAGGAATGGTAGCAGCCCTGTAGGGGCCAAGTGGCAGGGTAGAGGAGTCACACTGGGCACAGTGCCAGAGGCAGACTCAGGGTGGGGAGGTTGGTGTGGCAGTGGGGGAGTTGGCCAAGTGTAGGGGAGCCTAGGGGCAAGCAGGGGGTGAGCAGGGGGTCCTCAAGGAGAATAGGGATGAGGGGTGGGGCTTGCACTCATGCTCATGCAGCAGGTCAGGCTCAGGCAGCATCAGGATGGGCCAGGAATGGGCCAGAATGCATGGCTGTGACAATAGGATCCAGTGCCCCACTACCTGGGACACTGCAGACACTGGGCTCTGAGATAGGGTTGCCCCCAGATGGAGGCTGGGCCCTGACAGACAGAGACATCCAGATGGATGGTAAAGAAGACAAGCGACACCTGAAAGAAAATAATCAAAATCAAAAGTAGATGAAACATCACAATCAGAGAACAGATGAGCTGACATACAAAGATCATCAGATGCGACCAATATGTAAACCTCTGACAGCTTTGAGAGAACAGATGGGCAAGGCTGTGAAGAGAGCAGCATGTGGTGTGGCTGACAGCAGATACTGTACTGGCACGACCAACAACCTCTTCCCATGGCCTCTGGGAGTTACTGGAGGCATAAATCAATTCAATTTTGTTGATTTTTAATTCAATCCAAGACCTTCGCGTGACGCATGACAGGTTGTTGGTCGTGTTAGTACAGTATGTGCAATTGATTGAGGTGTTGAGCAGTTAAGAGCAAGGACAGAGAGAAGGTTGTTGGCAAGGAGGGGGACATGGAGGACATTGGTGATCACAAGTTGACGTAGGGGCTGTCCATTTTTCATTGGAGTAAACACAATTGATCCCACACCAGCAGCATAGATCACATTGTTGTCAGCAAGATGAACTGGGATCTTGCAAGGGTTGTACTCCAAGAACCAGTGGCGATTTGGAGTCATATGGGATGTAGCACCACCAGTGCACGGTAGTGAGTGACTGTGGGAATTTGGGCCCGCGGGTACATGGCCAGGCATCCTGGGGCTGCCTGGGTCACTTCTCCCTCCCAAGAAGGGAGGAAGGGTTGTAGGACCCAGTAGGGTACTACAGGAAGGATAGGAATAGGAGCTCAACCACCCAGTGGGGGGGTGGGAGCAGGAAGAGTGAGGTCCGGTGTCTGAGCACTCACCGGGCCGATGTGGATTTCTCACAGATTGTAAGAATATCGATGTAGACATCGATATGGACCAATTCAGATGTTACAGAGAAAGCTTACAGTGGTGGCACAATGGTGTAGCAGTTACAATTGCGGGTACAAGGTTTTGTGGGTTATGTATTAGATAAGGAAGGAACAATTCCGGCAACTGCCTTACATGTCATATGACTCATAACTATCTAATATAAATATTATAATGGTCAAGGGAAATCCCTTGAAACTCAACAAATCCCCCAGCCAGCACCAAAACCCAGTGGGAAAGCTTGGCATGGGGTTTGACAGCGAAATAAGGTGATGGAGTCCCAAAGTCTGCTTGCCTATAGTCACGGACCATAAGATTCTAGATCCGTTTCTATAACACTACCTCCTTTCGGATGTACCACAGGTTCTGCCCTATGACCTTTGGTACCACTCTGCTTCTGTCATCCCTTTGTTTCCATTCGGATGCCTTCATTCCGATTCGGACCCCCTTTGTTTCCCTTGTGCTTTCACCCTCTCCATCATATACCGGCACTTGTACATACTCGTTTTAGGCCCTTAGTCTAAAATCGACCTGAAATGCCCCCTAGAGACTTCCTGCTCACTGCCTATGAAATTAAGGACCAAATGGACAAACAGCAATGGCACAGCACTCCACTTGAGTCGCTGAGGCCAAGGTCCCTCCTTGCTAAGTCTCCTGTTCCCCTCCGGAATTGTCTGCCCTTGCCCAGTTCTAACAGGATCCTGCCCTAGGGATTTTTCAAACCCTGGAACCCTAGGCCCCCTCTTAATCATGGCTTTCAATGATGTGGAGACATCTACATCTCTGGGGTTCAAGTACCTTTACCACCCACCCCACACCTTCACATCCTTTGTTCTCTCACCTTGTCAAACCATGTAAGTAACATTGCCACCATCTCTTGTCAGTGCCAACTTTGAACACCATTCCTTAGGATCTTTCCACCAGGGCAGGTTTATGCATATGCGACAGTTTCTCTGGAAGGCGATACAGTCAGCCTGGGAGCCATTCTGAATGGCTTGTTCTTTCTGGCTGCTGGATGCATGAAGTGCTCATGGTTCTCGAGCTGGTTAGATAGAAGCTCCAGCAACCAATCTACAAGCGATGGAACAATGGTGGCAACATGTCTGATGGCGATGGTTTGGCAGGCTGTACTCGCCTTGACCTCTACTCCACTGAAACAGGTCCTTCACTCCCCAGACATCCTCAACCTCTGCGTGTTGGCCTTGATGACAATGATGTTCATTGGGGCTCATGAACACAACACCCTCCAAATGGCTCAAGCTTTATGTTGTCATTGCAAAGAGCAGGAACTGAACACCTTCGATGTTCTCTTGGAGGAGTTTTCTGACCTCAAGATCGTGAATTGTGCATGGAATCCTGAAGAGATGGATGCACAAGAGCACGAGGAATGCCATACAAAGAGTATCTCCTTTCGCAAGAACATGTTGGAAGCGATCGAACACATTGTTCCTGAGCCTGGGGATGAGTAAAGCTTTCTTTCCCTTCTGACTTCCCCTCCCCCACTATGTTCTTTTTACAGCTGTTTCTTCTTTCATTTTTTTCTTACATGTACACATGTTTGAATCCTATGAAATTTGTGACAGAACAACCAAATCCATGGATTCTTGCCATGATGTGGAGTTGGGTTATAGGGTGATTTTTTGGACTTGGGTGCTCAATTCTGTTTTTTGGATGCTCGACCTTTGGGATGTTGGGAGTTGGAGTGGGGACTGGATGCTGGACTCTGGAGGCTGGAAGCTGGATGGATGATGGGTCTGACTGCCACCTAAGGAGAAGTGCTGACACTGTTGGCACTTTGGATGCTGGCTCTGGCTGCACTGCCACCTACTATAGAGGCTCTCAAGGAGAAGTGCTGACACTGTGGGCACATTGGATGCTGGCTCTAGCTGTACTGCCACTGCACTGCCACCTACTATGGAGGCTCTCATGGAGAAGTGCTGACATTGTTGGCACTCTGGATGCTGGCTCTGACTGTACTGCCACTGCACTGCAACCTACTATGGAGACCTCTCCAGCAGAAGTGCTGACAGTGTCAGCACTCTGAACACTAGGGTTGGGTAGGGTTGCACTGCACTGCCACCTACTATGCAGCCTCTCATGGAGAAGTGCTGACACTGTCAGCACTCTGGATGCTAGGTCTGACCTCACTGCCACTGCACTGCCACTGAACATGCAGCCTCTCAAGCAGAAGTGCCAACACTGTCAGCACTCTGGATGCTGGCTCTAGCTGAACTGCCACTGCACTGTCAGCACTTTGGATGCTAGGTCTGACCTCAATATGTTTTCTTCCATCCTAGTAGCCCTACTAGGTTTCTATAAAAGGAAAATTTTCTTTATGGGATTTCCCTATATGGAAATAAGGGTTTGTAGTTGTTTGGGATTGTAGTGTGAAGTCTCTGGGATAATGTGTACCTCCAAAACCTTGCCTTGCACTCAAGTTTTATCCACAAACAAAATGTCTTGATCCACTCAATACATCTCCATAGCCACTTGGAGTTCTTCCATGGTCTCAAGATTAAATTTGCCAAGTTTCTCATAGACAAAGGTTTGAAAGATGTGGTAGAACCCAAGGGGGCATGGAATGGTTAGATACTTGAGGGATAGTTGTAGGAGTTGGGTAGTTGACCCCAAACATGATGTGGTCCACTGTACCATGGTGTCAGGGCACCACACCTGACCATATAGCCCTGGAACCCCCTGAATTGTGGTACCTTGAATCCCTTCAAGATCTGACAGCTGCCTATGGAGAAAGTGAGAAGCTAAGTGGTACTGAGTACCTGCTTTATGGCCTTTATCAGCAGATACTGGGGATCATCACAGCACATCCATTCACCCCAAGGCTCCTTCATCCATCCACAGCAATGGTTGAAACTGATCACAAACACCTGATTTTAGATTGTACTTTGGTATTGTTACCACATTGGCATACCAACAAATGGTGATTGAGATTAACAAAAACCATATTGATAGTTTGTTTCCCTCCTTCAGACATTTGTGTGTAAATTTGATGATGGGTTCACAGATTTTACTCCCTATGTTTAGCTCACCCTGCCTATTGCTTTTGAGGTCCCAGACATCATGAGTCTTATCTTCCTCAGGTCATCTGCCAAGCTTTCATGGCATTCCATGCTAGCAAGTAATGTACCTTACCCTATTTGTTGGGGCACACTTTTCTCTGTTCTGGTTTACACTGCCAAAGAATCTATTACAACCCCCCCCCCAAGAGATGGATAGCATTCCTGTATCCTAGCTCCTCCCCTGTGACTGCATCCAACTTCTCATTTTTTCCCAACCTGCCCTCAATGGCCATGTAATATTTGGGACCTTGGTGAGTGGATGCAGAGCCTGATGTATGTTATATTCTCAAGGTGATGTTGAACAGAGATAATTGAGGCAGAGAAGACTTGGGCAATCTTCTCAGTGAACTTTTGTGATTCCTTTGTGGATTCTCCAGTGTCTGCCTGAAGTCTGGAAACTCCATGCTATCATGTTGATCAGGGGCCAAGAAAGCTGCCAGACACAGGTGTACTAAGTATAATTATGATCAGCAAGGTAGATGAAAAATGAAAGAATTCTCACTTACATTCTGCATTCTTGAGGTCCAATTCCTGAGGAAGCTTGTGGGGGCATACTCATTGAACCAAGGGATCCCCTAATAGGAGGGCTAAAGCGGGAGCTCAGTCTCTGTAAATGAAGAACTAAATTACTACAGTTAATACTAACCTAAAGCGGGAGCTATAGTACAGAAGAGTACAGAGTAAGTAATGTAACAACTGACTAAAAACAATGATACTAACCTCAGTCTCCGTAAATGAAGAACTGAGGAGAAAAGGAAAGTAGAGCGAAAACAGTATATACAATTATATACATTGTGTCACAAGGCAAATATGGATGTAAGAGGGATCATGTGGTGTTGGTTGGTCAGTCACGGGTCGTTGTTACTCCAACATCCCCTTCATAAGCTTCATAGCTGTAATCATGGGCTTTGATCAAGTAACAACTCTGAGAGGGGTGCAAGATGTGCAAGATGATTTCCCAGCATCTGCTGCCCCAAAGCCTAGATATTGCAATCCAAATGAATAAAGAAGTCGCCACTGCTCCACCATCCATTCCCTCCAAGTGGCCACCCATGTTTAGCCCAGTTTCAATATTGTCAAGGTCTATTTGGCTGTGTCAGTGAGATGTAGGGTTTGGGGTTCAACTCTGCTCCATCTTCATCACTGTCAGAAGGCACTGTCTTAAGTTTCCATCAATGATATGGATTACTTGAAGGTCTTGAACCCTCTGCTTGGTTGCTTGAGGACCCTGAGGAAGGCAGGGTTGAAGCAAAGAGTCCAGGGGAGCTAGGGGCAGATGAAATCAGAGGTAAACCAGTCACAGATGTTGACATCATGGCATCAGTGTTCCCAAAAATGGGGTTGAAATCAGTGGCTGATGAGGAAGATGGGAGTCTTGGAGGCACATCTCCAGACAGCTACTTTCATTGGCTGATGCAAATTATCCACCTCTTCCTGAGTAGCCACAGGGTCAGAGAGGTTGGCCACACACTCTGGAATTTGCATGCAAAGACAGTGTAGTCCTTGGGATAGTGTCAGAGACCAGATTGAGACAAAGGAGTTGTCTCTGTGGCAGAGGGCTTCGGCCTCAGTGACTCGGACCAGGAGCGCTGTGCCAAGTTACATGTCTGTGCCCTAATTTACTTACTGGCAACGAGAACTAAAGAGGGATCAACTCTAGTTGATTTTATCACTGAGGTGTAACCTATGTACAAGTTAAGTACAGCAAGGGCAGGCCCTGAATGGCAGGGCTGAGCGGAGCAGAGCTAACGGAGTTAAACATTAGCTGATTGAATATTACTGACAAGTCAGGTTATGGGGTTAGCGGAATGGCAGGCGATAACCCAGAAACGGAAAGGAGGGATAGGCCTGAAGGTAGACTTGCAGGGCAAGCAAGTGAATTGCCCAGTGGGGGCAGGAGTGCATCAGTGGACATTGGAGCTGTCCAGAAGCCTTTGGGGCTCCATACTTAGGGAGGCGTATGTAATATATTGAAAAGAGGGGGTGGTGACCATCGAGGGAGGTGGAGGTGATTGCGGAATATGTGAGCTCTGAGGTTAGTGAAGAAGGAGCGGAGGTAGTCCAGAAGGGTTGGAGGTAGTGGAAGATGATGGCCATGGATGGATATGACAGATAGAGCCTGCTGTATTGGCAAATGATGTGCTGTCTCAGCGATGCCTTCTCCACTGGCATACATAATTGCCATGAACATGGCAGAGAAGACTTCCTCAGTTGGTGGGTTACCCACCAATGAATAGCCAGAGGAAAGATGTTGACAAGAGTCCATCACAAATGCCAAGAGCATTGCTGTGCTCATTTCACTGCTATACATCTCACCATCCTGCTGCAATTGCTGATGGCAATCCACCCAGCTGGAATGAAGAGATCAGGTCATGCAGTGGGGGAGAGAAAGAATGAAGTGTCCATAAGCCCCTATCATATCCTGGATCTTCCGCCTCCCTTCGCTCTATCCATACATGACTCCTATGACCTCCACCAGCCCTCCCAATCTCTCTCTGCTGCCTCCGGTTGATGCCAACAACCCTAGGACTACCTCCTCCTCTGACTCTCTCCCACTCTGCCACCCACCTATGTCCACAGCACCTCCGGACCTCTACCACCATACCTCCACCTCCTCGGACCCCTTGTTCAAAGGAGATGGGCTTGCTCATTGTTGATGAATCCCAACTTGTCATTCCATCCTCCTTCCTACCTCCAGTCTCCACACCTCTGGTACCTCCACACCTCTGGTACCTCCTCATTCCTATCTTACCTCCAGTCTTGATAATCTTATTGTTTTATCATTTGATATTTTCTACAACCCCAATCTTCCAGACTACAACTTCCAGGCTCCAGATCTTTCCAGACATCTTTCTCTGTAGTTCCCTGCTTGTTCATAGACGCTTTCAGACCTTGCCATTCAGTTGGCTTTTATTTCTCTCACTCCACAAAACCTCAGACATAATTCAGGCTTTTCGCCTATTCCTATTTGTCTTGTGGACTTCTTTCTATTTACTTCCCCTTCCCCTTGGTAACCTTTGTTTACCTTTGGATCCAATTGTTTCCGCTATATGTATGTGCATACCCCTCTAGTAAATAGTTCCCCCAGTTATAATATAAACAGTCTTCAGCCCTCCAAAACCTCTTCCAGGATGTCTATCATGTCCCACTCATCTGCTGCTCCTAAGAACTGAGTAACAGGCACTCCCAGAGATGCCTTGGTATAACACCCAACAAATCATGTGACAAACGATTGACCCTTGCTAACGCCTCCTCCGTTAAGTAGTGAGGGGGGGGCCTCCGGCCCCCTTCTGCTGGTGGCCTCAGTTCCTCCATCGCCAGCTCCCCTGACAAATGGGGACAATGAGAATGTACTGGGCGCAGCGCTCCATTCCAAGTCACTGAAGCTGAGT